TTCAGGATGTCTTGGAGCAGCTGCAGAGTGTTCTCAAGGGGGAGGGTGAGCAGCCAAGAAGTCATTGTACATGTTGGCAAAAGTGACATAGATAGAAATAGGGATGAGGTCCTGCAGAGTGATTATAGAGGGCTAGGAAAAAAGTTAAAAACCAAGACCTCGATCGTGGTAAGCTCTAGCTTACTTCCAGCGCTATGTGCTAGTGTGGGAAAGAAGATGAAAGCAGATGAATGTGTGGCTAAAGAATTGGTGCAGGGGACAGAGATTCAAATTCCTGGATCATTGGGATGTTCTCTGGGGGCAGAGGTGACCTGTTCAAGAGGGGCATGTTGGACTTGAACTGGAGAGGGTCCAATATCCTGGCAGGCAGATTTGCTAGTGCTGCAAGGGAGACTTTAAACTAGATTGGCAGGGGCTGGGATCCTCAGCAGCAGGGAGGTAAGTGCAAGGCTAGAAGGAGATACAGTAATCAGAAATAGCAAGTTGAAGAGACAAATCAGGCTGGAACAGGACAGGGAGCGAGGAATGCCTGTTCGATTAAATTGCATCTATTTCAATGCAAGAGGGCCGATGAACTCAGGGTGTGGATAGGTATGTGGGGCTGGAATATTATAATCATTACAGAAACATGGCTAAAGCAGGGACAGGACTAACAGCTTAATGTGTCATGGTACAGGTGCTCTAGGGAGGACAGAGGTGGAGGTAAGAGGGGAGGGGGAGTTGCATTTTCGATTAATAAAGTATCACAGCAGTAGTCAGAGATGAAATAACTTGAGGGTTCATCCAGTGAGGTTTTGTGGTTGGAGCTAAGAAATAACAAGGGGATGGTGACATTATTGGGGTTATATGACAGGCCCCCAAATTCTCAACAGGAATTAGAGGATCAAATACACAGGGAGATTGTGGAGACTTGCAGGAGAAAAAGAACATAGAACATAGAACAGTACAGCACAGTACAGGCCCTTCAGCCTACGATGTTGTGCCGATCTATTATCCTACTAAGATCAATCTACTCTGCACACCCTACATTTTACTATCCTCCATGTGCCTATCCAAGAGTCGTTTAAAAGTCTCTAAAGTATCTGACTCCACTACCACTGCTGGCAATGCATTTCACACACCCACCACTCTCTGTGTTAAGACCCTACCTCTGACATCTCCCCTATGCCTTCTTCCAATCACCTTAAAATTATGCCCCCTCGTAATAGTCATTTTTGCCCTGGGAAAAAGTCTCTGACTATCCACTCTATCTATGCCTCTCATTATCTTGTACACCTCTATCAAGTCACCTCATCCTTCTTCACTCCAATGAAAAAAGCCCTAGCTCCCTCAACCTTTCCTCATAAGACCTGCCCTCCAGTCCAGACAGCATCCTGGTAAATCTCCTCTACACCCTCTCTAAAGCTTCCACATCCTTCCCATAATGAGGCAACCAGAACGCAACACAATATTCCAAGTGTGGTCTAACCAGAGTTTTATAGAGCTGCAGCATAACCTCACGGCTCTTAAATTCAATTCCCCTGCCAATGAAAGCCTTCTTTACAACCCTATCAATTTGGGTAGCAACTTTGAGGGATCCATGGACGTGGACCCCCAAGATCCCTCTGTTCCTCCACACTGCCAAGAATCCTGCCATTAACCCTGTATTCTGCATTCGAATTCGACCTTCCAAAATGAATCACTCCACACTTTTCTGGGTTGAATTCCATCTACCACTTCTTTGCCCAGCTCTGCATCCTGTCAATGTCCCGTTGCAACCTACAACAGCTCTCCACGCTGTCCACAACTCCATCGACCTTCGTGTCATTGGCAACCTTACGAACGCCCCCTTCCACTTCCTCATCCAAGTCATTTATAAAGATCACAAAGAGCAGAGGTCCCAGAACAGAGCCCTGTGCAACACTGCTGGTCACTGACCTCCAGGCTGAATACTTTCCATCTACTACCACCCTCTGTCTTCTATTGGACAGCCAGTTTTGTATCCAGACAGCCAAATTTCCCTGTATCCCATACCTCCTTACTTTAAATGAACCTACCATGTGGAACCTTTTCAAATGTCTTGCTAAAATCCATATACACCACATCCACTGCTCTACCTTCATCGATGTGTTTTGTCACATCCTCAAAGAATTCAATAAGGCTTGTGAGGCATGACCTGCCCCTCACAAAGCTATGCTGACTATTTGTAATCAAACTGTGCTTTTCCAAATAATCATAAATACTATCTCTCAGAATCCTCTCCAATAATTTGCCCACCACAGAAGTAAGACTGACCAGTCTGTAATTTCCAAGATTATCCCTATTCCCTTTCTTGAACAAGAGAATGACGTTGCATCCTCAATGTCCATTGGAGTAGTACCAGAAGATTGGAGGATGGCAAAGATCATTGCCAAAGGGGCAGCAATCTCTTCCCTCACTTCACCTTGTGTATATCCTGTCTGGCCCAGGGCACTTATCTATCCTCATGTTTTTCAAAATTTCCAGCACATCCTCCTTCCTAATATCAACCTGTTCAAGCATATCTGCCTGCTTCATGCTGTCCTCACAAACGTCAAGGTCCCTCTCACTGGTGAATACTGAAGCAAAGTATTCATTAAGGACCTCCCCTATCTCCTCTGACTCCGTGCACAAGTTTCCTCCACTATCCCTGATTGTCCCTACCCTCATTCTGGCACGTAGGGTTGTCATAGTGGGGGATTTTAATTTTCCCAACAATAGACTGAGACTGCCATAGTGCTAAGGGCTTAGATGGGTGGAATTTGTTAAATGTGTTCAGGAAAGTTTCCTCAAGCAGTATATAGAGGGTCCTACTTGGGAAGGAGCAAAACTTGACCTACTCTTGGGAAACCGGGCAGGACAGGTGACTGAGGTGACAGTGGGGGAGCACTTTGGCGATATCTTGGGGACAGTACATATCATAGTAGAGGTGGTGTTGGAAGTATTAGAATGTATGAAGGTGGATAAATCTTGTCCTGACCAGATATATCCAAGAACCCTGGAGAAGAAATTGCAGGTGCCCTGGCTGATATATTTGCATCATCGTTAGCCACAAGTGAGGTCCCAGAAGACTGGAGGGTAGCAAATGTTGTGCCCTTATTCAAGAAGGGCTGCAAAGAAAAACCTGGGAATTATAGACCATTAAGCTTAACATCTGTGGTAGGTAACTTACTTGAGAAAATTCTGAGGAATAAGATGTACAAAATATACATGCATTTGGAAAGACAGGGTTTAATTAGGAGTAGTCAGCATAGCTTTGTGCACTTGGGAAACCATGCCTCACAAATTTGTTAGTCTTCTTTGATGAAGTGACCAGGAAGGGTGATGAGGGCAGGGCAGAAGACGTAGTCTGTATGGATTTCAGTAAGGCCTTTGATAAGCTTCCACATGTTAGGCTAGATCACTTGGAATCCAGGGAGAGCCAGCAAAATTGGATACACATTTGGCTTGATGGTGAGAAGCAGAGAGTAACAGTGGAAGAATGCTTGTCAGACTGGAGGTCTGTGACTAGTGGCGTGCCTCAGAGGTCGGTGCTGGGCTTATTGCTATTTGTTGTCTATGTCAATGATTTGGATGAGATTGTACAAGGCATGAATAGTAGGTTTGCGGATGACAGTAAAATAGGTGCTATCATGGATATTGAGGAAGGTTATCAGAAATTGCAGCAGGATCTCGATCAAGTGGGGATATGGAGTTTAATATAGATAAGTATGAGGTGTTGCATTTTGGAAAGTCAAATCAAGGTAGGAGTTTCATGGTGAATGGTATGGCCTTAAGGAATGTAGTGGAACAAAGGAACCTTAGAGTTCAGGTGTCCAGTTCTCTGAAAGTAGAGCCACAGGTAGATAGGGCAGCGAAGGCGGCCTTTGGCACAGTGGCCTTCAGCAGTCAGGGCATTGACAATAGAAGTTGGAAAGTTATAGTGCAGTTGTATAGGATGTTGATGAGGCTGCATTTGGAGTGTTCTGTTCAGTTTTGTTCACCTTGCTAATAAGATATTAGTAAGCTGGAAAGAGTGCAGAAGAAATTTTCAAGGATGTTGTCAGGACTCAAGGGACTGAGTTATAGGAAGAGGTTGGACAATAAAGGACTTCTTTCTTTAGAACCCTGGAGACCAACAGGGGATCTTATGAAAGTGTATAAGATCATGAGAGGCATGGATAGGGTGAATGCACTCAGTCTCTTTCCCAGGGTTGGGGAAAATCGAGGACTAGAGGGCATCAGTTTAAGGTAAGAGGGGAAAGAATACATGGGAACCTGGGGGGCAACTTTATTTTTTTTTTTTTTTTTTTAAAAACAGAGGGCAGTATGCATACGGAATGAGCTGCCAGCAGAAATGGTTGAGGCAGGTATATTATCAACATTTAAGAGGCATTTGGACAAATACATGGATAGGAAAGGTTTAGAAGGATATGGGCCAAGTGCAGGGAAATGGGGTTAGGGTACTGAGATCACACTGAATGACGGAACAGACTAATATGATTTACTTGTTCCTGTGTATATATGCACTCCATTGTGTGAGCTGATTAGTTTAAAACCCATGAGATCAGGGCGATTGCTGAAACGTGTCCTCCCATTATATCAGCATTTATCACTGGCATATGTCAGGGGGTGAATACAAGTGTCCTATTCTCAGAACACAATTTAGAATTTAAGAACAAGAATCAAGGCTTTCCTCCCTTCAAACATGCTCCACTGTTCTGAAGATCATAGCCAATTTAAATTTGCAGCTTCCTGCTGTATCTCCATATACCTAGTACCCCTGGAGGATCTAAAATCTATTGATCAAGATCTTGAATATACTCAATGACTCACAGACACAGCTGTGAGATACAGGATTCTAAAGATGGACATTCGTTGAAAGAAAAAGTTTTGTTAAATGGCCGGTTGTCAACCTAGGAACAGCTTGTTCCTAAATGGAATGCAAAACAGGGTCCTTCCTTGGTTCACAAAAAAAAAAATCAAAATTATGCAGTACTCGGGTGTCACTTCAAGACCCTGTATAATTTTAGTAAGGCTTCTTTACTCTTAACTTTACTCCAAAGGACTGGAATACAACTTGTTACTCACTGTACCTGCATTTTACCCCCCCAGGTACCTCAGAATACCACCATTTCCCAGTCTCATTAAAAAAATTAAACATCTCCATTTTAATTTCAATTGTAGGGCCTCAAACTCAACCAGCAGAACATCAGCATACAAACACATTAAATTAAACACAAAATTAAAGATTTATCAAATTCATTTTAAAAAATACATTATCGGTTTTCCATTGGTGTGGCTGACAGTGCACAATTTTACACAATATTAACAGTAGAATTGTACATTTCATCTAATTAATTCTGCTGAGTTTCAACAACTGTCATGCCAATGACACGAAAGTATTTCGCAGGAAAGGCAGGAGCAGGATTCTATTCTGGATTAACAAAGCCCTGCAAATTACTAGTGTATAGAAAACTCCACCTGACTTCCGCAGACACTGCATTTCTCATTTTGGGATTGTGTGTGCTCTCAACTCCACCTCAATCTTTCAACACAGGCTGGATCCATCAAGTCATACAAAAAACAAGATAGAAGGTCAGGCAAAACATGTGCAGGAAGAAATGGAGTTATCGTTTCAAGCTGATGATCTTTCATCTAAATTCAGGTCACCAATTTGAACTGTCACCACAGATACTTTCTGACCTGTTCAAGATTTCCAGCATATGTTTGTTTTGGTATTAACAGTTCAACGTGTCATTTTCACATTATACAGCAGAATGCACACTGAGGAACAAGTTCAATTTTTGACGCAACAGCAATCCTTGGAATGCCAATGTTTCTTTCGTTTGAAGTGATCAGTCCTATTTGGGCTGGAGCCTGGATTTAAGCTTTCAGATGATCATTTCATAGTAGTTGGTCTCATTTCAGCTCAGTTCCATGCTGGTGCTACTGGGTACAAGACAATCCATTCTGCGATGGTTACAGCAACAAACAGCTGGAAAGTGAACCAGACTTGTGACTAAAGCACACTCCCAGAGCTGTAAATTCAATCCCATTACAGACTTCAGAGCCTAACATACCAGACCTAGGACATTGGCTCAATTGATGTTTTTCTGGCAAAACGTCACCACCATCACATCATGTGGAATACCAAAATTAAGGCGACATAACACAATCAATAGAAAGGTACACAGTCATCTGTAAAAATAACTGTCTACACAACAGTTCAGACAGTAACACTGAAAAGTTCAAAAAATACTTAAAAAACCTAGGTATTGGTATCCGATTTAAAGGTTAGTTCTGTTTTTACAACTTAAAAAAACATTTTCTGAGGAAGATAAAAAATAGAAAGAGCTGACTCCTTTACTTTTCACACCTGGTGAGGTTTTGTTTGATCTGTACAGAGAGCCCATACAATCCCATACAGAAGCCAGAAGAATATGATCAGGAGAAAAGAAGCTAGGGGATTCAGGTTGAGCGTGGCACCAATAACCATACAAATGAAGAGTGAGAACAGCGTGCGATAACTAGCCAGGAAACGCAGGCTGAGCCGTGGCCGATGCTGTTGGAAGGTGCGGCACATCACAGGACCTGACTTGATCCTCCGACTCAACTCTGGGTAGGTCAGATAATAGCGAGCCAGTTTTCCCACTATACCATCACGCTGACATAGGGCCTCCATTTCACCAGCAAACTGTAGGACAACAAAGAGTGAAGAACTTAACAAGTAGGAGCATTAAACCATTTAACCCTTTGAGCCTGCACTGCCTGTTTAAAAAAGGAGGGACAAAACCAAAACTTACAGACTAGTTGGAGGACCTTTGGGAAAATGTTGGAGCCATTATACAGAATGTGATAACAGGAGACATAAAACACACCAACAGTATTACATAAAGACCACATCAAGTCCTGTGTACAGTTTTGGTCTCCTTGACTTAGAAAAGATATACTTGCCCCCAGAGAGGGATTGCAGTGAATATTCACCAGACTGATTCCTCAGATGGTAGGTTTGTTATACGTGAGATATTAGGTTGTCTGGGCCTGTATTCACTGGAGTTTTGAAGAATGAGAGAAGATCTCATTGGAATGTACAAAATTCTGACAGGGCTGGACAGACTGCATGTGGAGATGGTGTTTCTCCCCTGGCCAGGGGTCCAGAGCAAGGGGTTGTAGTCTCAGGACAAAGGCCATGTCAGACTGAAACAAAAAGAGATCTCTTCACTCAGGGGGTGGTGAACTTATGGAATCATGGCTGATCAGACTTTGACCTTAACTCACTTTCTTACATGCCCACCAGAACTCAAATGCCTTGACAAAGATCTTCCTATCTCAGCCTTGAATAAGTTCAATGACCTATTCCACAGAGTGCTGGAGACGAAAAAAAAAATCAAAAGACTAACAATCCTCAGAGATGAAACTCCTCATCTGTCTTAGCTGAATGATCTAATTTTGAAACCATACACCTAAATTCTAGACCGCCTCATAATAGTCCCCATTGGCAGCAACCGATTCTCCCAGGCCATTCTTTTGTTTTCACACCTGCTGTTCTCACTACATACCATCCAGTTCTGAAGGAGGAGGATCACTGGACCCGAAATATTAACTCTGCTTGCTGTCCACAATAGCCTCCAGACCTGCTAAGTTTTCCCAGCAATTTATGTTTTTGTTTCATTACAATTTCCTTTGGTTTATACTCCATGCCTCTATAAAGCCCAAGACCCCACATTCCCTAATAATCACTTCAATTTGTCCTGCCACGTTCACTGATTTATACAGATACACCCCTAGGTTCTTCTGCTTCTGTACTCCTGTTAGCACTGCACCTTGTAGATCATATTGATACACTTCACTCTTCCTTTCAGATGCATCAATTCACTCTTCCCCTACATTAAATTTTATCTGCTACCCATCACACTAACCTATGTCCTTCTGAAGTCTATGAAATGGTTAACACTGATGCCTCACAGCACTAGGGACCCAGGTTTAACCTTAACCTTACTTTTGTTTGTGATATACATAAATGATCTGGAGGAAGGTATAGATGGTCTGATAAGCAAGTTTGCAGATGACACTAAGATTGATGGAGTAGCAGATACTGAAGGGGACTGTCGGAGAATGCAGCAGAATATAGAAAGATTGGAGAGTTGGGCGGAGAAATGGCAGATGGAGTTCAATCCAGGCAAATGAGATGATGCATTTTGGAAGATCAATTCAAGAGTGAACTATATGGTAAATGGAAAAGCCCTGGGGAAAATTGATGCACAGAGAGATCTGGGTGCTCAGGTCCATTGTACCCTGAAGGTGGCAACGCAGGTGGATAGAGTGGTCAAGGCGGCATACAGCATGCTTTCATTCATCGGACAGGGTATTGAGTACAAGAGTTGGCAGGTCATGTTACAGTTGTATAGGACTTTGGTTCGACCACATTTGGAATACTGCGTACAGTTCTGGTCGCCACATTACCAAAAGGATGTGGATGCGTTGGAGAGGGTGCAGAGGAGGTTCACCAGGATGTTACCTGGTATGGAGGGCGCTAGCTATGGAGAGAGGTTGAGTAGATTAGGATTATTTACAATAGAAAGACGGAGGTTGAAGGGGGACCTGTTTGAGGTCTACAAAATCATGAGGTATAGAGGGGGTGGATAGCAAGAAGCTTCCCCCCCCCCCCCCC